TTCTCCAAAACAAATGATCCAAATTCGCAAAATTAGATTCTGTAGGAAAAATCTCTACAGCCGTAGGAATCTTTGAAAGCGCCCAAATCTGCCGTGCAGGGTGGCACTGAAAAAGTGTATGATTGACTGTTTCCTCTACTGCGCCACATCTGGCACATCCCGTGTCACAATCAATTCCTCTTTTTCGCAAATTTTCCGTAACCGGTACACAACCCGTTAAGATTTGCCACAAGAAATGGCGTATCTTAGGTGGACACTGTACTTTCCAAGAATGTGCTTTTAGTAGGTTGATGTCAGGGCCAAAAACAGGTAAATTGGTCTCCGACTTTTCTATCCGTATGATATGATATCCCGATTTGACTGTATATTTTCCGGATTTTGTAAAATGCCAACCCAAAGAATCTTCCTTTGTTGGCACACCCACATGTATGGCGCTTACTAGTGCGACATCTTCTGGATCAAAGATCGCTTTTAAGAGATCAATATTCCAAAAATTCGATCGACTATCTATAAGATCGTTAACTTTTAAAGATGGGTCAGCAACTGAACCATTACTTTTTGCTGGTCTCGGGAATTGAGCTGGAATCCAGGGATCGTCCCAAACCGAGATGGATGTCCCAGATCCGACTCTTTTAATAAGTCCTTTATTAACCAGAGATCTAGCTGAACATATACTCCGCCATCCATATGATGGAGAATATGATTTTATATTTTCCAAAGGATTAGATTTCCTAAAATACCGTCCTTTAAACACCTTTGCGAAAAGAGAGTCCGGAACCGTGATCAACCGCCATAATTGTTTTGCTAGTAAAGCTGAATTAAAATCGTCAACGTTCCGAAATCCTAATCCCCCTTCCGATTTGCTATTGCACAATTTATTCCAAGCCATCCAATGCATACCTCTAGAATCACCATTTGAGCTCCACCAAAAATTAGCAACCGCACTAGTAAGTTTAGAAGTGATTGTTTTTGGCAATCTGAAGCATGACATAACATAGGTTGGTAATGCTGCAGCTACCGATTTTATCATCACTTCTTTTCCCCCTTTTGATAAAAATTTTGCCGACCATCCGTTAATCCTTGTTTGTAGTCTATCTCTGACAAAAGAGAAGATTTTTGTCTTCGAGCCCCCCAAACTCTCCGGCAATCCAAGATAAGAACCCATTCCACCGATATTAGTAATACCTAAGGTAGATTTGATTTCTTCCTTAATTTCATCATCTACCTTATGTCCAAACTGAATCGAGGATTTTAAAAAATTAATCTGCTGTCCCGAGACCGCTTCATACTTCTTTAAAATCCCTAAAATTACCCCACACTGGTCTTTATTAGCCTTGCAAAAAAACAAGCTATCATCCGCAAATAACAGATGTGAAACCGAAGGACTTGCATTATCTACTTTGATACCTGTAATTAATTTTTCCCGTTCAGCTTTTCGAATGTTCGCAATTAGCACTTTTGTGCATAGGATGAATAAATAAGGAGAGAGCGGGTCTCCTTGTCGTAAACCCCTCTCTGGTATTATTAGTCCTTTAGGTTGTCCATTAAGGAGAACTCTATATTGGACCGTTGTAATACACCACATTATCCATTTAATCTATTTTTCACAGAAACCCAATTTTCTTAAAACCTTCTCTATGAAAATCCATTCATTCTCTATGAAAACCTTCTCTATGAAAACCCAATTAGTTTTTAAAATCCTAATTAAAATCATGTGTTATTGGTTCTATGATTTATAAATACTAATTAAAATCCTATGTTATTCGTTTAGTCATTTGTTTTTGGATTTGAGAATCCAAATTATGTTTTAAATGAATTTGAATGGAATTGAAAGAGAAAAATAGAATGATTCAAATCCATGGATAAACACATATTATTTCAAAATCCATATATATTGATTTCATAATTAATAAAATTTTCAAATCCTATATAGATTTATAAATTAATAAACCAATAACAAGATTGCCCTCCCGGCAAGGAATAGAGATTGGCGAAGCATCATGTTAGAGTTTATGGTTTAATAATATTATTAAGATATTTTAATACCATATATGATTAAGAGATTTTTTCAAATCATGAACACACAAATACAATGACAGAAGCGGCTATACTGTATATATTTTGTATTTCCTTATTCTAGAGATAAATCTTAGAAATATATTTTAGAAAGATTCGGAAACGTATAACTTGGTCTTCAAGTTAAAGTCATTGTATTAGAATTCATTCTAAAACCCTAGCCGCTTCTAGTTTTACAGGTTGCCAAAGATCTCGCCTTGCATAACCTCAAGAAAGTTTTTTTTTTAATTTTTTTTTTGAGATCGAATCGATTACGGCGGCGACCTTGTTCCCCACTCTCTCCCTCTCTCTCTCTCTCTCTCTCCGTGGCTCCATCTATTTCTCTGAATCGTTCCAGATTCGATAATAAGCAAGGTTTGAAGTTTAGAATGATGAGGACGACGAATAATGCTGCAACACGGGTCTTTTGGGACCTGAACACCTGTCCGCTTCCTTATGGCTATGATGGTGGTCGGGTTGGCCCGTGTATTGAACGGGCGTTGAGGAAATTAGGCTACTCTGGTCGTGTCTTCATCACTGGCATTGGCATACTAACAGACGTCTCTACCGGGGTCCTACAAGCGGTCTATTCCTCCGGAGTCTCTCTTTGTAACGTCCGAACCAAATGTTTTGGCGTTGAAATGAAGATCACCTGTTCGCTAAGTAAACCTCCTAGGGATAATTTAATGCTCATATCTGGTGAGAGGAGCTTCGTTTCATATCTTGACATGCTAGAGAGGAACCGAGTTCCCGTTATTCGGGAACTACAATCGGATGAGGTGTTTCCAATCGTCGCCAATCCTATAGAAGGCTCTGTCTGGGAAAGGTTTCTATTGGCAGGTGGAGTGGATTCAGGACACCTTGATGAGGACCCCGGTTGGTCTTGTGAAGTATGCTTTTCTACTGGCTATGGCTTTGAAAATTTCCTCCCGCATCTCAAACACAAACCTAGGAATGAGGTGACTAAAGAAGAAGAAGAAGAAGAAGAAGAAGGAGAAGGAGAAGGAGAAGGAGAAGAAGAAGATGATGACAAACCTAGGAATGAGGCCTCGAAGAAGCAATTAGAGCGAGAATGCAAGAAACAGAGGACTTGAACAAGACAAGACAAGACTTCTAAAGAGGAAGAAGAAGAGGAAGACTACATACCTCCTGTTCTTCTTCTCTAAGGCATTTCATATCGTGTATGCTTTTCTCTACTACTATTGTATCTTATGGTTTGTGACTTATCCGGCATAACATATTACTATTTTATCTTATGGTTTGTGACTTCACAAGTGACAAGACATAACATATTGCATTGGCTGCTTGAGGTAGAAAACTGTCCAAGAAGCTTTGAAAAAACCTGAACTTAGTCCATCTGGCCCAAGAGACTTATTTTTGTTTAACTTCATTAACATCCTATGAATTTCCTCTGAAGATGGAGTTACACGATCATGGATAGTTTCATCTCATTGCTGCACCTCTCTGTGTTTAGATCAATGAACCAGGTTAAAAGGAAGAGTATCAGGGCCTCGGATATTCTTGAAATGGCTAATGGCCATTATACTCATATCCTTACCGGATCAGTTTCCAGTTCACCATTCGACATGATTAAGGACCTGATGGAGTTTTCTGACTTGTGTGCACATCTATGGAAAGAGGGTTGTGTTCTAATCCCCTTCCATTAGCCATTGAATTATGCTTAAAATAGGCTTCCTCTATTTGTCTTAGGTAACTCCACTTGTTATGAGCCTCTCTAGCTTTTTTTGTTATGGGATTATAAGGCTGTGTTCTGATCCCCTTCCATTAGCCACTGAATTCTAGAAAAGAAGCAAAACGCTCAGGGAACAAAGTCAACCAACAATGATTCACTAGCATTCTGTCTAACTTTTTTTGTTATGGGATTATAAGGCTGATTATTTTGTCCATGTATGATAGGTTCCCTGATATCTCAAGTCAAAGACCCCCAAAGAATGAAAAGAAGAGCTCATCTCCATCAAAAAGGCAGTAAATATAAATCATTGTTAATGTAAAGAATCAAAATTGCAACATATGTTACTGTATTCGCTATGTTGCAATTTTTTAAACCAGCTTGAGTAGTGAGATAAGAGAATATCAATGGTCTTCACAGAGATGGCTTGAAAATTTTCAGTACCATTAAACTTGATTGTAACAGTGGAGATAATGGATATAGTAAATGTTCTAGAATAATCTAGGATGTTAGAGTTGGTGATAAAAACGTGATTTAGAGCTGAAGAGAGATTGAATTTTAATAACAAAACTTGATTTATTACAATAATTACAAAAAAAAAAGTACATAAAAGAACAAATTGAAATGCCAATTGCTTTTACCTAACTTCAATGATTGTCTCTATCTTCTTCTCCTTGTGATTCTTCTTCATCTTCTTCTTTCTTCACATATGGAGCATAGATGCTTGAGTTGAGTATCTTTGCATCGTTAACATTAAGATCCTCAACGTGGTTTACAAAGGTGTAAAATCTATGTTTCGTAAACGCTTTATGTTGGTCACATGCTCCAAAACCTTGGAATGCAACACGTTGGAGAGTGTTCTTTTCGGGTTTGAAGTAGAAAACATAAAATGGTTGGTCAATTGTATAATCGCCCGTCGACAAAATAATTTCACCCATACTAGTCACTCCAACGACAACGACAGAAGGATACTTGTCACCAAAGTCGTCATCAACTAAGAATTTATCATCCCACAAAGTGTAAGCATATTTCGACCATTCCTGTTTCTCAACATAGACGACGACGACTTCTCCTTTGGACTCATCAAACGCTGAGGCAACGAGAATATGCTCCACCAACCGTCTCCTTCTATGGCAAATAAGATACTAGGCCGAGTCAATGACCTAGTCAAGAACAACTCCGTAAAACATGGACGACTAAGTATTGATAACCATAGCTTCGACACGCAAGTACGCAACGAAACCTCGCTATTGACATTGCAGGCAATCTTAACAATATCTCGATAATGAGATCAACCGGGATAGAATCTGAATTCATGATTGCTGATAGAGAGACCTAGAGAACCCCAAGCTAAAGCTATATATATTAAGCGACGCAAGTAAAAAACAAAAGGCAAAGTTCTGAAATAATTTAAACCGGTTTGGTACACATTTCCATTTATTACTCGGTTAACTTACCCGATAACATTAAATGTTCAATTTCATACAAAACACACCGACATCGGTTTCTATGACTTTTAAACCAGAACCGTAACATCGACATCGATTCATTGCTATTTATACAAAGTCCGAATCTAGTTTTCGTACGAAATTCAACTTCCTCAAAAACCCTAGCTTCCTTCTTCTTCATGGATCATCATCAACAACAATCCGATTCACCTATCGATGAACCCACAAATTCATCTTCATGGAGTTTCGGTAATCTAATCAAAACCCTAGCGACAAAATCCGAATCTGTAATCGGATCCTACCGTCGCGATTTCGAGGAATTCGGATCCGAATTGAAGAAAGAAACCTCAATAATCCGACGAGTAGCTTCGAGATTACCTGATTCTCTCGAGATCGGAGCCGCCGTCGCTTCGGAATCTCTCGAATCGGTTGGTCAAGTTATCGACGATATCGGCGCCTCCGTGTGGAAATCAACGGCTAAGATTATTTCTCATGGTAAGGAATCTCTAAAACCGGATCGTGACCGTACAAATCAGGGTTTTTCTGTGAAACCCTATAGTCGTTTTGAGATGATGTTACTTGCGATGCAATCTGATAAAGGAACGTTTGTCAGAGAACCTGACGATTTAAGTGATTTCGAGAATTGGAGTTTAGGGTTTAAGTTAGAGGAGAAAAGGAATGGGATTGTTGATTTAATTAATGGAAACAAAGTTGTTAAAGAGATGTATGAGGAGATTGTTCCTGTTGAAGTTGATGCTGAGACTTTCTGGAGGAGGTATTTTTATAAAGTTAATAAGCTTGAGCAAGTAGAAGAAGCTAGAGTTAAGCTTCTGAAGAGAGCTATTTCTGGTGAAGAAGATGAAGATTTGAGCTGGGAGCTTGATGAGAAAGACAGTGAGATTGGTTCAGAGAATGTGGTATTGGAGGAGGAGAAGGTAGAGAGCAGAGAGGTTTCGTCTAAGGACAGTGATTATTCGGTGATTTCGACACAGCCATCGTTACCTGAAGTTGAAGATCTTGGGTGGGATAAGATGGAGGAACATGTCAGAAGCAATGAGGAGAGGAGTTTGGAGGTTGGTCAAGGGATTGTGGAGAGATCGGGTTGGCGAAGACGGGTTAGTGTAGCGGTAGAGAAAGAAGAGGATTTATCTTGGGATATTGAAGATGAAGATGATGACTCTGTTCATCAACAATAGATAGAGTATACTTGCCTTATAGAAAAGGCAAGATTTAGTGTGATCACAGTTATTAAGTGTGATCAATACATATACAATTCTTCAATTTGTATAGTACTATGCTCTAGTGAATTAAATCGAATGTTTTTAATTACACTAGATATGCCACAATTCAAAAGACAATGCAATTCTAGGAAAAAACCAATTTAACATCTTAAATCTTTTCTCTGCATCAATATTTTGAGTAACAAGAAGAGCTAATCTTAGGTGTTGTAGCGATTGCGAATGTCAGGGAACAAGGCTGTGGTTGGAGCCTTGGAGACTGCAGCCACCACATAGGGGCAGATATTTCATATTCTTTACGCAAAATTTTAGAACCAAAACTTAAAACTTGTGTACAATGAAAATCTGTTCACTAGCTGTGGAGTTTACACGCCACAGAATCTGTAATGGCCGTAACACATATTTCTGATTTGACAAATGGACTCCCATGGGCCGTTTGATTGATGTTTACCAGCCTTGCTAGCTCTGTGATGAGCCAGATGAGTCCCGCGATCACCTATTCTTTGCCTGTCTGTATACATACATGGTCTGGATGGAGGTTGCTGGTAATTTGCTTCAGGCTGCACCTAATCCTGACTGGTCCGTGACACTGCAGCGACTGATCACATACATATTTGACAGAAATAACTACATTATCCTTCGTCTAGCATTCCAATCAACGTTTGGCAGGAACGAAACCAAAGAAAGCACAACCAACATCACCGCTCACACGGCCAGCTTGTAGACAAAATGATACGTTCCAGTATCATGTCTCTGCGCCACATTGAGTTCCGGAAACTCCGGAGTCTACTCCAGCTTTGGTTCAAGTCGAGGATAAGTAACTAAGATTCTAGTTGTTAAAAGGTGCTCTGTTTTATGAAGAGGCGTGTCTCTCTTTTTTAATCGTTTCTCGCTGGTCATTTCTGGCCTATTTGTTGTACATAACTTAATTCGTTTAATCAATTTCACATTTTAACAAAAAAAATTAAAAAAAAATTCTCTGGCGCTGTCTTTTCTTACCACTGCAGTTGCTACTGTTGCAGGAGAATTCTCTTAAGGAGAAACACAATCACAAGCCGAATGTTTGTTAAAATCAGGACCCTCTAGTTAGTCGCCGGATTCACATTCTAACAAAGACTCAAATTCAAATATAAAGAAAAGCAGATAAACCTGAAGTGGAAGAGTAATCAAACCACCACAATAAACTCCTGCAAGCATTCCATGTTCATAGAGACAATATAAAGTCACCGTTTTAGTGTCTTCTTCATAATCCAGTGTCAAACTCAATTAAAAAAAAAAAAAAAAACTGCAAATAGAGCTAATAGACAACTAGCATCAGAGAGTCGAGTCTTATAGCTTCGATATTCTTCTCTTTTCCATCTGAAGATTGCTAATACCGAGTGGTTTCCTGCAAAATCACCAAAAAGTCTTAACACATACCACATTTGCTTCACTTGAATGGATCAAGAAGGCATTGGTAGTTCATCATTATCTATACTTGTAATCATAATCAACGAATATGGACATTTTTCTTCCAACATTATCAGGTTCATCTTCCTGTGATTTATAACAGTACTCAAAAGACATCAAATCACTAACGTCTAGCAAGTCTATGTTGTGACCACTGTGGAATATCACTTAAATAGTGTTTCTTAACTAACTTAGCGATGTTCTAGCCTATATATTGATTCTAATCTTACAAGTATGTAAACAATAATGAACAAGAATCCAAGAGGTGCAGATTAAATGAAGACATGAAGAGAGACTAAAGAGGTAGCAATGTATTCAGATGGCATAAATACAAGAATAGAGACTAAGAAAACAATCAAATAATAGAGACTGATCTGATCCGTGAAGGAAAAAAACAGGGTGATTCAGATCAAAACTGTCAAAAACCGATGATCATACATACAAATTACAATTATCCATCAAATCAAACAAAAAAGATTCATCAATTTTCCAAAAAGTGTAGACTGATCAGGTACAAAAGAACATACAAATCGTACGAGGAATGACATTGGAAAACGTGAGCTGTTTAAGGCTTATCAAGAGATTAGTGAACAAAAAGTTTCGAGTAGTGGTGATCAAGATGGTTTTCTAAGATCAGTCAGTGAGTTGATTGTTCTTAGTGGGCTGCCGTTTTCCTTCGTTGAATCCGAGGGCTTTAGGAGATTCTGTCATACTACACTCCCTATGTACGATGATGTATCACAATTGACAGTTGCTAGGGATATTGCTACAATGTATTTGCAAGAGAAGGATTTTTTGAAGATGTTGTTTGGTGCTGAGAAGATGAGAGTCTCTCTCACTACTGATATTTGGGAAGCTCCTACTACCTCGTGTAGCTATATGGTTGTAACAGCTTTTTGGATTGATGCAAATTGGGAATTGCAGAAGAGAATCATTAGCTTTAAGCTCGTTACAGATAAGAAAGGAGAAACGATTGCAAGACACCTTATTGAATGTTTAGATGAATGGGGAATTAAGAAAGTCTTCACAGTCACGGTTAATAATGCTGAGGGTAATGATAAGGCTCTAACCTTATTCCAGGATGCTATGAGGTTGAAGGGAGCTAATGCATTAGTTAAAGATGGTGATTTTCTGCGTATGCGTTGTTGTGGTGACATTGTGAATCTGCTTGTAAAAGACGGTATGGAGCATGCAAATGATAGTATTGTTGCTGTTCGAAATGCGGTGAAGTATGTGCAGTCATCCTCCTCAAGATTAAAGTCATTCGAGTTTCGTATAGAGACGGGAAAGGTTTCTAAATGCAGCTTGTCATTGGATTGCGTTACTGAGTGGAATTCGACGTATCTTATGTTGGTAGCTGCACTTAAGTTACGGGTAGCTTTTGAGAAGATGTTGGGTGAAGACAAGCTTTATGGTAAATATTTTCTTGAAATAGAGGAGGAGACTGGAAAAAAACGGGTTGGACCGCCAATTTCATCTACTTGGGATGAAGTGAAAACGTTGGTAGGATTTCTCAGAATCTTTTTCAATTATACCGTTGGATCTTCGAAATCTAAATCAGCAGCTTCTTCAAATGGTTACAGTGAGATTGCCACTATTGACTCGAATCTAATCAAATTAAGTAACAACGTTGATGAAGAAGTACGGAAACAAGCAACAAATATGAGGGACAAGTTTGAGAAGTACTGGGATGGATTGATCAATATAAATCCACTTGTGATTGTTGCTAGTGTGTTTGATCCAAGAAAGAAAATGAAGTTTGCCTCACTTTGCTTTGACATGCTCCATGGTAAAGATAGTTTGGAAGCTAATCATCTTACATCGTCAATTAGAAGTGTGATGCGTCATCTATATGAAGAGTATACTATGATGCTGAATAAACAGTCTCAAAGTGATGCTATTGCAACCCAAAGCGATCATGGGGGTTCTGAGCAATCAAGTGATTCTGATGGGTATATAAGGAGTGACTATTTGTACAAGGAGATGATTAATGAAATGAGAAAAGAAGAAGCAAGTAAACAGCTGGATGATTACTTGATAGAAAAAATTGAGCCATGGGGTTTAGGATCAGATTACGATGTTTTGTCATGGTGGAAGCGTAATAGTTCGAAATACCCAATCTTGTCAGAATTGGCCAGAGATGTTCTTGCAATTCAAATGTCTTCTTTTGCTCCTGAGTCCGCTTTTTGTACTAGTGGTCGAATCTTGGACCCGTATAGAAGTTCTTTGACTCCTTACAATACCGAAGCTTTGATATGCACACAACAATGGTTGCAAACTTCCCTCCAGTCTGAAGCACAACTTCCTAGCTTAAAGCAAATGTTTGAAGAACTAGACTTTCATGAGTCACTTGGTAATCTGGTTCTTTATTTAACTTTTTCAATATATGTTCAGTGATGAATATCAGTTATCTAACTAACTTTATTTTTTTTGGTGTAGATCCTCGGAAACAACCTGAACCTCTGGTCACTGAGGTCTAGCTGCAACTAGAGGTACACATTTTTTTTTTGTATTGTGGTGTTTCTAAGTCTTCTTTAGTTTCTGCATTTTTTTCAGTTCTTCTTTTATAGTTTCTGCAGTCATTTCACTATGTTCAACCTTTGCATCATTGCTTCTACACTCTGCAGTCTTCGCATAATTATAGAAGTCTCGTCGTTTCTGCTTCGAATCTATGTATGATGGTTATTTACTTCGATTTTGTTTTTCAGTCCTCTTATACAGATTCGAAGTAAATAACACTATCAAATGTAGACTTGAAGACAGATACGACGAGTCTTCTAGAATTATGCAAAGACTGCAGAGACTACAAGCAATGATGCAAAGGTTAAGCATAGTGAAATGACAGCAGAAACTGTAAAAGAAGAACTGCAAAACAAATGCGGAAACTAAAATCAGAAGACTTAAAAACTCCACAATACAAATAAGTTTTGTACCTCTAGTGACCAGGTTCAGATTGTTTCCAAGGATCTACACGAAAAAAAATAAAGTTAGTTAGATAACCGATATTCATCATTGAACATATATGGAAAAAGTTATAAAAATAAAGAACCGGATTACCAAGTGACTCTTGAAAGTCAAGTTCTTCAAACATTTGCTTTAAGCTAGGAAGTTGTGGTTCATACTGGAGGGAACTCTGCAACCATTGTTGTGTGCATATCAAGGCTTCGGTAATGTAAGGAGTCAAAGAACTTCTATAAGGGTCCAAGATTCGACCACTGGTACAAAAAGCGGACTCAGGAGCAAAAGAAGACATTTGAATCGCAAGAACATCTCTAGCCAATTCTGACAAGATTGGGTATTTCGAACTATTACGTTCCCACCACGATAAAACATCATAATCTGATCCTAAACCCCCTGGCTCAACTTTTTCTAGCAAGTAATCATCCAGCTGTTTCCTTGCTTCTTCTTTTCTCATTTCATTAATCATCTCGTTGTACAAATAGTCACGACTTATAAACCCATCAGAATCACTTTGGGTTGCAGCATCACCAATTTGAGACTGTTTATTCAGCCGTATACTATACTCTTCACATAGATGACGCATCACGCTCCTAATTGACGATGTAAGTTGCTTACCTTCCAAACTATCTTTACCATGGAGCATGTCAAAGCAAAGTGAAGAAAACTTCATTTTCTTTCTTGGATCAAACACACTAGCAACAATAACAAGTGGATTTATGTTGATCAACCCATCCCAGTACTTCTCAAACTTGTCCCTCATACTTGTTGCTTGTCTCCGTACTTCTTCGTCAACGCTGTTAGTTAATTTGATTAGATTCCAATCAATAGTGGCAATCTCACTGTAACCATTTGAAGAAGCTGCTGATTTAGATTCTGAAGATCCCACGGTACAACTGAAAAAGATTCCGAGAAATTTTACCAACCTTTTCACTTCATCCCAAGTAGCTGAAACTGGCGGTCCAACCCGTTTTTCTCCAGTCTCCTCCTCTAATTCAAGAAAATATTCACCATAAAGCTTGTCCTCACCCAACATCTTCTCAAAAGCTACCCGTAACTTAAGTGCAGCTACCAACATAAGATACGTCGAATTCCACTCAGTAACACAATCCAATGACAAGTTGCCTTTAGGAACCTTTCCCGTCTCTATACGAAACTCGAATGACTTTAATCTTGATAAGGATGACTGCACATATTTTACCGCATTCTGAACAGCATCGATACTATCACTTGCATGCTCCATACTGTCTTTTACAAGCATATTCACGATGTCACCACAACAACGCATACGCAGAAAATCACCATCTTTAACTAATGCATTAGCTCCCTTTAACCTCATAGCATCCTAGAATAAGGTTAGAGCCTTATCATTACCCTCAGCATTATTAACCGTGACTGTGAAGACTCTCTCAATTCCCCATTCATCTAAACAGTCAATAAGGTGTCTTGCAATCGTTTCTCCTTTTCGATCTAAAACGGGCTTAAAGCTATTGATTCTCTTCTGCAATTCCCAATTAGCATCAATCCAAAAAGCTGTTACAACCATGTAACTACAGGAGGTAGTAGGAGCTTCCCAAATATCAGTAGTGAGAGAGACTCTCATCTTCTCAGCACTAAACAACATCTTCAAAAAAGCCTTCTCTTGCAAATACATTGTAGCAATATCCCTAGCAACTGTCAATTGTGATAGCTCATTGTATATAGGGAGTAAAGTATGACAGAATCTCCTAAACCCCTCGGATTCAAAGAAGGAAAACGGCAGCCCACTAAGAACAATCAACTCACTGACTGATCTTAGAAAACCATCTTGATCACCACTAGTCGAAACTTTTTGTTCACTAGTCTCTTGATAAGCCCTAGAAAGCTCACATCTTCTAATGTCATTCCTCGTACGATTAGTGCTCTCTTTATCATCGTCCTTTGGAACAAAGTATTGCCGTATATCAGAACTTTGAGCAAGTTTCTTCCTTGGGTTTGATGGAAGATCAGAACTTGATCTTTGAGTTTCTGTCCTTTTCTTTCCCACACTAGTCTGAACTTGAACTTCTTCTTCTCCTTGAACTTGTTTATCAACCAAGTCATCGTTGTTGTCATGAGAAGACATACAAAACACAATTCTCAATTTCAAGTGTCAACATCAAGCAGATTCACAAGCACACTTAAATCAAGACTCTCATCACAAACTCGTAGTTATACTTGAAAGAACTGAGAAAGATCAAAACTTTGAAGCAGGTTGGGTTTCACATTTAGACCAATATAGAAGAAACACAAACAAAACCAAAACTTTATACTCACATCACGTGAATCAAGTCGATTGTGAAGAAACATAAAAACTTCGACATTTCAAATCGAACAAACATCAGCGAAAAAACAAACCTTACCACGGAGATGAGAATGTCGGTCAGAATCGAAGGCTCGGAGAACTGTCACCGTTGGAGAGATGCTCGACGGAGATGAGTCGCCGCCGCAAGTTTCGAAGTCAGAGGAGAATGAAGAAAACCCAAAAAATCTTAAAATCAGGTTAAGACATTTTAGTAGTTTAATTTTCGGTTATTTCGGTTCTGAACCGAACCGAACCCGAAGACTGAACTAAAAAAACTAACAGTTGTGGATCGGTTCTCATCCAGAACCCGAAGTAAACCCGAACTTCAACTTCGGTTCGGTTTTAATTCCTAATGAATAATGATCATAGAGTCATAATCAAAGGAGAAGAGAATCGAACCGTCTGCATATCTCAAGCAAATTGTTGACATTTTAGTCTGCAAACATGACTTCTTTGGTTTTGGGTTGCTGCATCAGACTTGAATGTACACACCTAAAGACAGATACATATTCCAAACAAGAACCAGCCTTCTTCTGCTTACCCGAGCCGCCCCACATCAAACTAGGCAAGTAAGCATACTTGTCCCGATTGTCATAAGTTGACACATAATAAAAATAAAAAAACTCAATGAAACAATGAGATAGTCGATAGCTCTAGAGAGATTGTCATTAAGGTTTTGAAATGGAATATGCATTGCTTAACTAAAAGCAAGCACCAACATTAAGGAAAAAAACATGAAATCCCAAGTTATAAAAAGGCGTCTATGCATATTACAACACATAAGTTACAACAGTTTAAAAGCCCATAATTAAGCTGTATTCAGTGGAGAGGGGCAAGGCACAGGAAGAATCTGGAGAGAGCAGCTGGAACGGTGACCTCGTGGAGAGTGTTGGAGGATAGGTCATAGAAACCGAGACCCGTGTCGTATCTTGCATAGTAGACAGAGTTAGGTTTAAGTCCAGGATACTCAGATGCAGAAACGCAAAAGGCCTCCTCGCCCTTGCCTAGAAAAATGCAGAGATCCCCGATATCATCAGTGTAAGAAGCAATCTTCTTCTTATGGTCTTGCCTAAACACCGCAAAGCCCGTGGGCTTCAGAACGTAGGAGGCACTATCAGGAGACACGACTTCTTCTCTGTTGGCCAACTTGTTACACCTTTAAGGCAAGAAGCAAATGATACACACACACATTAAAAATATCTGAATCATTGCTTAAAATGTAAACTGGTGTCAAACAACAATGCACACATTAAAAATGATCAGAACACAGATTCTTCTCTCTATGTCACTTTCTTTGTCTATATACATACATTATGGGGTTTCTGAAACAAAACTTTACTCAAGAAGAAGAAAGATGAATTACCAGCAGACAATGAAGGATTCGCCAGAAGGTGACTCGACCAGGTATTGATCGGTATTTGGGGAGCTAACCTGGAGGATGTCAGAGTTAGGAAAACTCTGGTAGAGACTCACCTGAGGGAAGCCGGAGCTAGTCTTGAAGAGATCAAGTGGAGCCCCATTCTCTTCGTTTTTCCAGCTCCTGAGATAGAATTGCCGGTCTCTCGCTGAATACATCATCTGCATGTTAAAATGCGGGATCTTGGTGTGTATCCACTCAGAGTCACCAGGGCGACAGAGATAGAGAGATGGACGAGTGGTCGTGGCGGCTACTACACAGTCTTCATGGTCTGGAGAGGCTGAGAGGGAGATACTTGAGATATGAGCTTCACTATCTTGCAATGGAGGCAGAGTGATAACCTTGTGTGACGAAACAGAGGCACTAGGGTTAAAGATATTGGTGAGAAGCACATTGGAATTACGCATGTCCTTCACACCAACCCATCCCCTCGAAGATCCTATCTTCATCGAAGGATAAAGCTCCTCCGGCAGAGTCTGGTCGGGGATTTCTACGGTTTCGTCCTTCCTCGGATCGTACAAGTTGATGTCCACCACCACCACTCTTGCCCCGTCAGATACTCTACTCCTCCTTGCGTTGGTCTCATTGCATAGAACAAACGGAGACGGAGACGGCGTCGCCGCCGCCGTCGAAAACCACCGCAATTCACTGAAACAGAGTCTCTCCTTCTTCCCAAGAGATGATGAGATTCGACGCAAGAGCTGAGACATTGTTGAAAGAAATTGAAAACCCTAAACGGCTGACCCTCAACCCCTAACTTGCTACATTTATTTATACCTCCTCCGTTTCCCAAGGTTTCCATTTTTTCTTTTCTTTTCCCCAAAATTCCCATTTCTTGCTTCTCTCTGTTTCTTCAATTAGTCGGACTAGTTGTGAGATTTAGAGGATTCGAACCAAAAAGTCGTAACCGATTAGTTCAAACCAAACCGAATTCGACTTTAATAGTCTTTAAACCTTAAACATCGCTGTTTTTTTTTTTTTAATTTGTTGTTTTTTTTTTAATGTAGTTCAAACCAAACCGAATTCGAGTTTAATACAGGACACGTCTTATTATTATTTGTTGGATCCACTAATAACCGGAATAATTGGACCAGATTACCGGTATAAACATTCCATGGAGAATCAAAATGTTTTTATTTTCGGGTACCCGAACGTGTTCGGATCAGGTCTCTCAGATTATAGTATTACATGATCCGTGCGGCTATTTTTGATTTTTTTGGTCGGCTTCGAGTCGGATCGGATATTTTGTAAATCTCAATTGACAAAATATGTGGTAATTAGCAAAATTTTGGTTCCTTTGTTGAATATTATCTGGTTAAATCAATTATCAATGGTTAACGCCATTAAAGAACTTTTCATCTCTCCGTACATTATTTATTAACTTTTTTTATTGATACTCTTGTTGAATCCCTTTAAATCTTTTATGATTCTAAATTATTGTTTTTTTTTTCAAATCGGTTCCGGTACGGATCCTGATATTATGCTCATTCAAGGTGGACATTTCTGTTAATTTTTGGGTTCAGTTTGATTAATTCGATTTATGAAAGTTCTAGCCTAACTCAAACCGACCGAACCGTTTAACCAAATGGGTTGTGCGCAGACTTTGGTTCGGTTTGAATAGATTTGGTTCAGTTCGGTTCAAATACCCACCTTTATCGCTCATGCCTAAACTAAACAAATTTGTGTAATCCTACTTATGTAATAACCTCTCTTTAGAAAAGAATTTTTTTAAAAAAAAGTTGAGAGAGAGCATTATCATGGGTTACTACACAAATTTACTATCATCTTTAATTAGTTATGTTTGTCAAATTATTTGGAATTAATTTTTGATGTTGACAAATTAACACTTACATGAGGTTATCTCTTCGACTATATCGAAAGTTTGTGTACTTACCATGGTTTTGTTCATTTAAATTAAAAGCTTAATTATTTTAATTATCGTTGTGGATATCTGAATCCGCAATTAAGTATTTCGTGGTTGTAATCAGGCTTCAGCCTTATTACACGAGTATCTTCGAACCGTAATAAAAGAAACCAGTGAAAAAGTGTTTTATTATTGATCTTGATAGAGTTTTTGTTATAGAATTTTTTTCTCCCTTTTTATATAGTCTTAAGCCCGCGATCCAGGGCATTAAATGACATTGCTTTTTACGCTACGGATCACATCTCTCTTGAAGCGATCCCGCAATCATCGCGCCTCCTTTATTGCACGAGATCAGATGGTTTTCCGAAGTAAAGATTCGAATAATATGTGGGCTTCTCGTGGGCTTGACGATGTTCATGTGGATTTTGATTTGAAGCCCACCACCGTAAAGGTCCAACACTTCAACTCACCCAATACTACCCGTTTCTTCCTTGGGTCGGTGGATCACGACATCCGACATCAACAGTTTGCCTCCCAAGTGTTCCGAAGTGCGTTACTTCGGGAGACTTAACATATCGAGAATCTTCCAAAATAGAAATTGGAATTTAATGCCGCAAATCTCGGAATTTTCTTCGAGAAAGGGGTGACGCTTCGAGATCTTATGGTTTTGTTTTACTGCCCAAGAATATTCTATAAATACGGATGGACTCTTTGGATTCTACACCCATCTTCATGGTTGCGACTCGACTTCGTCTTTAAAAGGTAAATCTCTATGTCTCCCTCTCTTCATTCCCTCTCGTTTAATTGGTGAATTCTTGAATTTAGCTTAGAGTTTGTGATAGGAAGTTAGGTAGTTGAATCATCCTGATAGGTTTAGGTCAGTATTAAACCTTGCTGGATTGAGCCTAAACGTTGCTCAATTTCAAAAACTCTAGGTGCATCATCCTGCCTAAAACATGACATCAAGTTTTTCCAAATCTCTTCAGCAGTAGACATGAATAACAAGCTTTGGCCTATCTTTTTAGAAACAAAGTTCATTAACCAAGTTGCTACCATATCATTACACCTAGACCAAGATCCAGCATCAGGATGATTAATAGGAGGTTGAGTAATACTACTGTTGGTGTCGGATCCCGCACCAGAGGTTCGGGACCAACCAAAGATTGCCACGTAGTCGGGATAACGGCCCATAAAGGATAAAGCCCATTAGACCCACAAGTCAAAAGAACAATCGAAGTGGTTATCACCATAAGGAGAATTCGAAGTGACTGCAGCTCGACACGAGTCCGGAGACGAAGTCATGGTTAAGTCGGTCCAAGGATATTTGGGTCAAAAGGCGAGGCCCATGAAGATCAGAATCAACTCAAATTCGAACGTTAAGCATTAAAACCAAAGATCAAAACGGTCACATTTAAGAGAGAATAATTGTACTTAATTAGCCCATTAAATGTCATTCTTCTATGTATAAATATAAAGGCCAATGGCCATGTAAAGGGGATCGTTTTTTCGAATAAGAAAGACCATCGCAATTTTTGTAGCAATTCATAAGCTTTTTACATATTCATTTTTTGTCCCTCAAGAGTAATCTTTTCTACTTAACAAAAATACTTGAGTGTGTAAATCCGACATCCACATTTTGGCGCCGTCTGTGGGGATAGAAGATTCTTGAGTGGTCAGATTTTCCTTACTACAATTCTGAGATAAGCAGCAATGTCCGGAGGAGACGCCGTTGAGTCATCATTGGCCGAGACCCTCAAAGCTATGCAGCAAACCATGTCGGACATATCACAAAACTTCTCGGATGTGGAAAAGGCCGTCGACACATTACAAACATCCTAGGTATCTCTTAGTCAAAACGTCAGTACTATACAAACTCGTGTTCGTTCTTTAAGTGCAGGAAACCCTGTGGGTATCCGAAGAAGGATACTCAACTCGCCAAGTTCCGCTGCGCGAAATGAAACTAGCGGACAAACAACTCCTGGTGCTACTAATAATGAAGTTCAGCCATTGGAGGAAGAGACACAGCTTGAAGATGAAGTTCAACTTGCAGATCAATACGAGCAGGAAAACCTCGACCAGTTCGAGACTATGAGGAAGGTTAGCCAAGAACTAAAAGAAATGAAGTCAAAGTTCCATCAGGCTACAAGTTCGGAGCCGGATATCAATCGAGTCATTGAAGAAGCTAGGCGAACACCTTTCGTTCCGCGAATCGCAAGTTTAAGAATCAAAGATTCTCGGAAGCTCAAGTTGGACCCTTACAGCGGATTAGAGGATCCGAAGAGCTATCTCGCAGCTTTCCTGATAGCTGCCAGAAGAGTCGAACTGGATGAAGCCGATGAGGATGCAGGATACTGTAAGCTCTTTTCGGAAAATCTATGTGGCCAAGCTCTAATGTGGTTCACCCAATTAGAGCCGGCTTCGATCAGCAATTTCGACAAACTATCAGTTGTGTTCTTAAAACAATATTCCATTCTTATGGACAAAAGTGTTTCGGATGCCTATCTTTGGAACCTGTCACAAGGATCAAATGAATCACTTCGAGTTTTCATCACCAAGTTCAAAGGAGTGCTGTCAAAGCTCCCAAGAATCTCACAACAATCAGCTTTATCTGCCTTACGAAAAGGATTGCGACATGATTCAAGATTTAAAGAAGATTTAATACTTCATAAACCAGACACAATTCATGATGCACTCTTCCGCGCAAACAACTGGATGGAGGTAGAGGACGAAAAAGAAAATTTTGCCAAAAGAAATAAGCAAGAAAAGCTAGCAATCACCGTCCCTACCAAGAAGTTCGAACCCAGGGAGAATAAAGGACCAAGGAAGTTTGGATCGCAACCCTTCAACAGTACCATCGGAAAGCAATTCCAAGGGAAAGGAAGGTCAAACACTTGGGTCTGTGATGAAAGTTTATATTGCGACATTCATAAAGTAACCGGACATTTAACCAAGGATTTTAGCGTCCTTAAAAAGCACCTCGCGGAACTTTGGGCCATTGGAGATCTTTCCAAATTCGATATAAAAGATTTTGTGAAAGAATACCACAAAGCAAAGGAAGGCTCCAAAGATCAAAATTCCAAAAGACCAAGGTTAACCAACGAGGAAGAACCAAGGAGTTCGAAGGGTAAGATTAATGTTATCCTAGGAGGTTCCAAATTTTGTCGAGATTCGATAAGTTCCATCAAAAAACATAGGCGAAATGTTTTACTCAAAGCAAGTTTGAGTGAAGAAGTCGATTTTCAAGGTGCATCAATATCATTTGACGAAGAAGAAACGCGGCACCTCGAAAGACCTCATGATGATGCTCTAGTCATTACCCTGGACGTTGCTAACTTCGAAGTATCAAGGATCCTTATAGATACAGGCAGTTCGGTCGATCTAATCTTTTTAAGTACTTTAGAAAGAATGGGAATTAGTCGGGCGGACATAGTAGGGCCTCCGTCTCCATTAGTTGCGCTCACAAGTGAGTCAGCCATGTCTCTCGGGACAATCAAGCTATCGGTCCTTGCCAAACGGGTGTCAAAGATCGTGGATTTTGTTGTCTTCGATAAGCCCGCGGCTTACAACATCATCCTCGGGACTCCCTGGATTTATCAAATGAAAGCAGTCCCCTCTACATATCATCAATGTATCAAATTTCCAACATCAAGTGGAGTGGAAACAATTCGGGGAGATCAAGAAGCTTCACGGACGTGTTATCTAGCTAGCCACCGTATGAAGATTCAATAGCAATTAACGAAGCCCGCAAAAGAGGGACTAAGATCAAAATTTCCTAGCGGACAGAAAAAAGATGATGTAGTAATCGAAGTGGTATTAGAAGAAGACAAACCGGACCGGAAAATTCGAATTGGGGCAACTTTGACTGGCCAAATAAAAGAAGCTTTGATCAAACTCTTGCGGAAAAAAACATCGTTTGCGTGGTCAGCGGCGGACATGCCTGGCATAGATCCAAGTATAATTTGTCACGAACTAAACGTGGATCCGAGCTTCAAGCCGGTGAAACAAAAAAGAAGAAAGCTCGGAGTGGAGCGAGCAAAAATAGTAAATGACGAAGTGGATAAACTTCTGAAGATAAGATCCATAAGAGAAGTACAATACCCGGAATGGGTAGCAAACACTGTCGTTGTCAAAAAGAAGAATGGAAAAGATAGGGTTTGCATCGACTTCACAGACCTCAATAAAGCATGTCCCAAAGACAGTTTCCCGCTCCCACATATAGATCGACTTGTAGAGTCCACCGCTGGGAACGAGCTGTTAACATTCATGGACGCCTTCTCGGGTTATAATCAAATAATGATGAACCCCGAAGACCAAGAAAAAACGTCATTTATCACTGATAGAGGTATCTATTGTTACAAGGTAATGCCTTTTGGTTTAAAAAATGCAGGAGCAACTTATCAACGGTTGGTTAACAAAATATTCCACCATCATCTCGGGAAAACAATGGAAGTCTACATAGATGATATGTTGGTTAAATCGTTAAAGAAAGAAGTTCACGTTAAGCATTTAGAGGAATGTTTTGATATTCTCAATAAATATCAAATGAAGCTGAACCCGGCGAAGTGCACATTCGGGGTCCCATCCGGAGAATTTCTTGGCTATATTGTGACATAAAGAGGGATTGAAGCCAATCCAAATCAAATTAACGCCTTTCTAAACATGCCATCTCCAAGAAACTTCAAGGAAGTACAACGGTTGACTGGGCGGATTGCGGCTTTGAATCTTTTTATCTCGAGATCAACAGATAAGTCGTTACCTTTCTACCAAATTCTAAAAGGAAACAAAGGATTCCTTTGGGATGAGAAGTGTGAAGAAGCTTTTGGGCAGCTTAAGGCATACTTAACCACTCCACCTATACTCTCCAAACCAGAAGTGGATGAAAAACTTTATTTGTACGTGTCGGTTTGAAACCATGCGGTTAGTGGAGTCTTGGTTCGGGAAGACCGCGGGGAACATAAACCAATTTATTACGTAAGTAAGTCAATGACAGATCCGGAAACCAGATACACAATGATGGAAAAACTCGCACTCGCAGTGGTGACTTCGGCTCGGAAGCTGCGCCCATATTTTCAATCTCATCCGGTTGAAGTATTAACCAACCAGCCACTCCGATCAATACTTCATAGTCCAAGTCAATCCAGACGTTTGGCGAAATGGGCGGTGGAATTAAGCGAGTACGATATAGAATTCAAAAGCCGGATCAGTATGAAGGCTCAGGTTTTAGCAGACTTCTTGACCGAGCTACCAATACCTGGAACGATAGAGCAACCAGAGAACCAAACTTGGAAATTACATGTAGATGGGTCTTCAACAAAACAAGGATCCGGAGTGGGAATCAAGTTGGAGTCTCCAACATCAGAAATTCTAGAACAGTCATTCCGATTGTTATTCAATGCCTCCAACAACGAGGCAGAATACGAAGCCCTGATTGCCAGACTTCGATTGGCACAAGGAGTTGGAGCTAAGAAAATAGTGGCTTATTGTGATTCGCAATTAGTAGTTAACCAGTTTAATGGAGACTATGAGGCTAAGGACTCAAGAATGGAAGCATACTTCGAAGTGGTGAAGGATCTATCTAAAAATTTCTCGAAATTCGAATTAATTCGCATACCTCGGGGGGAGAACACAACTGCGGACGCACTTGCCGCATTGGCGTCAACATCAGATCCTGAGTTAAAAAGAGTTATTCCAGTGGAATGCATTTTGGAGCGAAGCATTCAAGACAACAAAGAAACCTTCGTCGTTACAAGGTCTCGAGCAGCGGCACGTGACCGTGGCGAACCAGAGATCGAACCGCCACCCAACAAACGGAGGAAGTCAAAGGGATCAAACACATCTAACAAAGAACCCGTTGTCTTAGCAGGAGATTTAATTCCAGAAACAATATTAGAGACCGAGCCATTAATCGAGGAGGATATTCTAGAACCAAACGAGCATCCCGAACCAGAGCCACGAGTATTTAACAAGGTCGACCAAATTCCGGCTAAAGACTGGGGGGCTGACTGGAGGGAGCCAATAAAGCGCTACATCATGACAGGCGAGCTCCCAAAGAATAAGTGGCAGGCCAGAAAAATGAAAATCGTTAGCGCAAAATTTTGTCTATCAAAAAATGCATTATATAGACGAGGTGTGAGTGACCCTTACCTATTATGCATTTTTGGGCCCGAAATCGAAATCGTCATGAGCGAAGTGCATGAAGGGTTATGCGGGAGTCATTCATCAGGAAGAGCTATGGCTTTTAAAGTTAAAAGAATGGGATACTACTGGCCCACTATGATCACGGATTGTGTTAAATTCGCCCAAAGATGTAAGCGCTGCCAACTCCATGTGCCATTGATCCATCAACCTTCGGAGTTATTCTCTTCCATCTCTGCCCCATACCCGTTTATGAGGTGGTCAATGGACATCATCGGACCATTGCACAGGTCAACTCGAGGTGTATAATACCTTTTGGTCTTGACGGACTACTTTTCGAAGTGGATTGAAGCTGAGGCATATGTTGGTATCAAGGATTCGGCGGTGAAGACTTTCATTTGGAAAAACATTATATGTCGACATGGAGTTTCGTACAAAATAGTCACTGATAACGGGCCACAATTCATTTCACAAGAGTTTGATGCCTTTTGTGCAGACTGGGGAATCAAAGTCAGTTACTCTACTTCACGATATCCGCAAGGAAACGGTCAAGCTGAAGCCGTGAACAAGACGATACTGAGCAATCTCAAGAAACGTTTGAATCATCTAAAGGGAGGATGGTATGAAGAACTCCAACCCGTCCTATGGGCCTATCGTACAACCCCTAGGCGACCTACCGGAGAAACTCCATTCTCTTTTGGTTTATGGCATGGAGGCAGTTGTACCAGCTGAACTCAACGTGCCCGGACTTCGTCGAACAGAAGCACCATTAAATGAGGAAGAAAATTCAGCAATGCTTAATGATTCACTAGATACCATAAATGAAAAGCGTGATCAAGCTTTGATTCGGATCCAGAATTACCAGCAGGCTGCAGCCCGATATTACAACTCTAAAGTCAAAAGTAGGCCGTTCTTCGTGGGAGATTATGTGTTAAGGCGCATTTTTGACAATAAAAAAGAAGAAGGCGCCGGTAAACTCGGTATTAATTGGGAAGGATCTTACATTGTTACCGAAGTGGTTCGAAACAGTTTTTATAGGCTGAAAGACTTAGAAGACATGCCAGTCAAGCGACCTTGGAATGTGATTAACCTAAAGAAATTTTATGTTTAAAGCTACACGCATTTTATATGTACATGAACTACGGTGTGGCTTGATCCCGAAATGGGTACGTAGGCAGCTCGGAAACGAGTTCAGCTATTAATAAAAAATTTGTTTTATTTTCTGTATTAAAGGGAAAGGTTCAACTTTGCGAACAAGTGAAGCAAATAAAGGTTCGGCTATGCGAACATACAAGAGATTGGAAATGGAGCGTTTATTCAAACAAAAAAGAAGGGATGTCCCTCATCGTACACTTCGGGTTATAGAGATCTTGTTGACGAGCAGAACACTTCAACTCCTTGACCAGCAAGGTCAAGGATTGGCATCATGCAGTCCGGAATTCGAGCGAAGTCAGAGATTCCAAGCTCGATCCATTCTCCAGGGTGAGATTCAAGGACGTGAAGATCTCTTGATACCGTAGTAAGCCTGCATTGCATCCGGTTAGTCCTCTTCCGAAGTCTCCTCTTTTCCAACGTAAGCTTCCGATGTTGAAGCGCAAGTGCCTCTATGAATGCCATCGCTGTTCCTTGGTCTCTGATTGGGAGATCCCTGATCAAAGCACATGGAGCTCGGATCTGGGATCTGAAGAAGCCGCGAGGTGGAAGAGACCGCCTATTTGGCTCATTTGGAGCATCTTCGTTTATCATTCCAATCCTGGAGAAGTCGGGCATAGATTCTGAACATCGAAGGTTGAATTCCATACCTGCAAAAATGAAAAAGAGTGGTGAGGAGAAAAGAGAAGTTGAGACTATAATTTATAGGAATGTCATATTCCTAAGTAAGCTGCGGATTCTATCCTAGGAATGGAGTGATTCGCCGAGAGATTTATGCCCTTAAACCGATCTTGCATTAAAAGACGCATCTCCGAGAATATTTGAAGAGTAAGGAAAATTGCAAATGTTTCCATAAATAAAAAAGGGACGAAGCCCATTACGAGTTCAAAGTAAGTGAAGAAGTTAGAGAACATTTATGGAAGAGGCTCAGGAACAGGCTCCTTCATCGCCGGTTTAGTTTTCGAAGTGGACGCCTTGTTCTTGGCATCCACTTCGGGACGATCCCGAACGCGTTTCCGACTGGTACTGGCCTCCTCCTCGTCTTCTTCCTCGCTATCAGATGGAACGGTACGGACCGGAGCATTCACAGGACCCGGAACTCCTTTAGCACGGAGATACATCCGAAGCATCTTCGGGATCTCAGCAACAGAATCGAAGTTCCGCCATTCCCATTGAAAGGGATCACTTTCCAGTGCCCTTATCTTCCTCTCCACCCGAGCGATGCGAGCCTCGAGTGTTTGCCTTTTGAGACCTAGCCGCTGCCTTTCCTCACACAAGCGACGGTGCTTGTCGGCAACCTAGCATAAAGATGAATGAATAAAACGAAACAAAAAGTTTTTAATCAAGAACCACAGATGTTAACCTTGTCAATAAAGTCGCAAGCCTCTTTCTTCTCCTTTGAAGGAAAATGAAAGACGGCGTGAGGGAAAAGAACGCCGGCCGGTTCAAAGCCATCGCCGGACAAGAAAAGTGGGCTGCCGGGATCAACGGGGGCTACGTTTTCGTTTTCCATTAATGTGGTGTTTGTTGAATGGATTATGAAGTTTCTTGAGAAAAGATTAAAGGCAAACAATCTCCTATTTATAATAGGGTTAAGGTTTGTCTTGGGAATGAAAATTCAATAATGGTGGCGTGCCCTAATGGTTTAAACCATTTTTGGAAATCGAGAAAAGGCAATTATTGTATTAAAGACGAGCCGCTTTTCCTACTTTCAAGAAATAAGAAGGGAAAGCGCAACCGTCGCATTAACTACAAACGTTTCTAAGGCCCAAGCCCAACAAATTTACCGAGTTTACTAAACCCGAAGTGGGGAACTCGCGTTAAGCCGAGCTCAGTTCTCGCATTCTAAAGAGAAAGGTCTGATCAGCCTAAAAATCTCGAAAGCATAACCACAAGGCCACAAAAGGTCAAAAGCGGACTTTGCAAACCCACACATAATTTTAACCAAACCTCCTTGGGGTCATAACCTAGAAAGGTTTAAAAGCCTCCTCAGACAAATATCTTGTTCAAAAAAAAAAATGATGATAAAGCCTCCTTAGGCAAAAACAAGTTCGAAATTAAGTTTTAAAATAAATGGGACAATCCCCAGTTTAAAGTGGGCACAGCCACTACGAATCGACAGCCACCTCGGACTCCGGCTCGGCTGTCGAAGTTTCATTCGCCTCCTTGGCTGGTGCTTGGTCAGATTAAGCTCCTGGTCCGCCCTCCACGGTACAACCATCCTCTGGGGTGACCTCCGGTGCCGCAGGAACTTTGGGTGGGACGACATCTTCCGTCTCACTTGAGCCTGGGAAGGACAATTCCAGTCAATTTAAAAAAAAAAAACATAAGGCGCCAAAAAGGTAGTAAGTGTTAGGAGCCAGGCATTACCTGCCCAGTCTAGACCCGATTCACTTATAGGAGGCGATTCAGTGAAGAATTCCTCGAAGTCCTGCGGGTTGAAGGTCGAAGTGGGAAGAGCTGCTAAGCGACTCCGCTTTTCAGATAGATTAGCCGACAGTTCGGTCCTCTCTTGCACCTTGGAGAAATCTGTTTCATGGATTTGATCCAACAGAATCAGGTTGTTCTAGTGCTCCTTGATGTCTGATTCCAAACCTGACCTAGCTTTCTCGGTTTGAATGAAGCGGATGGCTCCTTGGATCAACTCCATCCCGCATCCCTTAACCTCTTTTCTGGCCTTTGATGCCGACCTCGCCAATTTGGAATCACACAATTTGGTGATCGCCTTGAACTTCGCGTTAAGCTCAATAAGTTGGTTGTTCAAGGTATCGGCGGTTGATTCGGATTTATGAAGTCTACCCTGAACACCAGAAAGTTCATCCTGGAGTTTGTAATTCCGGTCATACTGGTCCTGCAGCTCCCCTTTTATCTTCGCAAGCTCGGATATTAGACTATCGACTTAGTCCTCCAGATCATGCTTGGAGCTGGTGGAAGAACGGAGTTCAGCTTCAAGAGCAGAAAGTTTTTTCTTCCACGCGTCAATCTCCTTTTCCCGACCAATGACCAATCCCTCATAATGCTCAATCATGTCATTAAGCTCGCCGTTAGCCTTGTATTATACATAAAACCGGGATGGCGAGTCAGTTCGAAAAATGGCAGCACAATCAGAAAAATAAAGCGGAACTAACCCGAGATGAATGATGAGCATGAAGCAAGTAGCGTTCACGGATCGCAGGGCGCCACTTGTCAAAATCTGGCAAGATCGCGCCCGATCGGGTCTTGAAGCATCGGAAAACACTGCCTTCTTTCTCCATAGCTGTGAAGGAAGAAGAGTTGTAAAAATTAGAATCTAAGCAGAGATAAAAACTTTTAAGCGTATGTAAATCGTCAAACCTGAAAGTGATTTGATTTGAGGGACAAGAGCAGGCTTTAACTTCGAAGAAATATCTCGAGACTCGGAATCTCCCTTTTTAGAAGATGCACTCCGGGCAGTCTTCTCGCTCTCGGGCTGGGAAGAGGAAGACATATCAACAGGTCGAAGAGGACCCATTGGTTCAGTGGGAGAGGATGATCGTGGTGAACGGTCAGTCCGGGCCCTTGATTTCTCCCTTCGCGGAGAGGAATCACTACGAGATGACTTGTCTCTTTTCCTGCGAACCAAGTTCTTAAGTGGTTCATTGCTAAAATCATCTCGGGGAGGACGAGGAGAATCACGACGAGGAGATCGGTCCCTCCGAGGAAAACGATCGTCACGACGTTCGCGACGAGGAGAACGATCGTCACGACGTTCGCGACGAGGAGTTAATCTGAAAGCAGCGACGGATCTGGCTCCCTCGGTGCTGTTGTCATCAACCAGCAAGGTCCTGCTGTAGTCTTTTTTGTCGATGGCGGCCGCAAGGAACGCCTTGTTTTCGTCACAAGCCTCTGCTATCGGCTTGGAGAGTTTCTTACGCTGGGCAGTGAAGGCCCGACCTGACATTCCCTGAGTTGAGGGAGGAAGCGGAAGACGATGAAGTTGATTGGGGGGACTCATCCTGAGTTTTCGATTGGCTTCAACGAACCGATCGAGGGTGAAAGAATTCCAAAGGGTTTCCCCTTCAAGGATTGTTTTGAAGAACTTGACGAATTCTTCAGTAGGAAGAGACGAAGCGATGACAGCTGCGAAGTGAAACAACGAGTTTAGTCAGTAAAAAATAAAACAACCAGGAAAGGAATATACGACCTAGTTTCTACCAGGCTTTGCAGTCCACTTCGATGGGAGTACATCGGAAAGATTTCCAATCGAAGTAGGAGTTTTCTTAATCAGGAACCAAGGATGGTGCCAGTTTTCATCCTTGTTTGGGAGGTGCGAGATGACGTTCCTGTTGGCATTCAGATACGCCGAGAAGTACCCTGTTTTCTTTGACGAACTTCTCACGCTCAGAAGTTCGTTCAGCTCGGAGACCCCAATAATGTAGTCTGCTTCCGCCGCAACGGTTATGATCCCGAGGATGGTTCAGAGAAGATTGGGGGTTAGCTGAGGTAAAGCGATCTCAAGAGCTGCCAAGTATCGAACCAGGGCTTCAGGAAGGGGGAAGGTCAATCCGCAGCCCTTGAAGTAGATTTCATAAACGCAAAAATAGCCGTCGCGATGATTTTCCGGGGACTTCGTAGGGTCGGCTATCTATGCTTCCGCTATGATTCCAGGGGGAATCTGGCAAAGCCCTTTTAATCGCTCTAGGGATTGAAGGGTACAGGTGGATCTGTAGTGTGGACCAGCTATGTCGTTGGGACGAGTGCATTCGTCATTGCTGGAGCCGCCTTCAAAGGATGGAGACTCAGGTCTTTCGAAATCAGAAGTCATCGGAGAATATGAGAAATTTAAAATCCGGCAAAGAGAAAATCGGCGAAGGAAGAGAAGAGAGAAGTTTCGATTAAAGCGTAAGAGTAAAAAGTGATGATGAAAGAAGTTACCTCACGAAAGCTAAGTGATAATGATGAAACCGCCTTGGGAATCGTGGGAGAAGTGGAAAGGTTTCCCGCTTTAATATAAAATAATTAAGATACGGTCATAATGGTGACAGATGTCACACGACTAAACATGGATAGCGCCAAAATTAAAGGACTGACGGGATCTTGGCGGGAAAATCAAAAGATTCCTCAGAACGCAATCTTTGGTCGTTAAAGCATTTAAAGTCCTCCGAATTGGAATGGCAATTCGAAGAACTTAGGGGGCTAATTGTTGGTGTCGGATCCCGCACCAGAGGTTCGGGACCAACCAAAGATTGCCACGTAGTCGGGGTAACGGCCCATAAAGGATAAATCCCATTAGACCCACAAGTCAAAAGAACAATCGAAGTGGTTATCACCATAAGGAGAATTCGAAGTGACTGCAGCTCGACACGAGTCCGGAGACGAAGTCATGGTTAAGTCGGTCCAAGGATATTTGGGTCAAAAGGCGAGGCCCATGAAGATCAGAATCAACTCAAATTCGAACGTTAAGCATTAAAACCAAAGATCAAAACGGTCACATTTAAGAGAGAATAATTGTACTTAATTAGCCCATTAAATGTCATTCTTCTATGTATAAATATAAAGGCCAATGGCCATGTAAAGGGGATCGTTTTTTTCGAATAAGAAAGACCATCGCAATTTTTGTAGCAATTCATAAGCTTTTTACATATTCATTTTTTGTCCCTCAAGAGTAATCTTTCCTACTTAACAAAAATACTTGAGTGTGTGAATCCGACATCCACAACTACCATCAATGAATCCGAGCTTATTTCTGACATTAAGCGCCATACGAACAGAGCGACGCCATGAATGAAATTCTGAACCAGAATTAAGCCGATCGGATACAAGAACCAATCCTGCGTGGTCCGATGAATGTAGAAAGAACGGATTCTCATATTGATCCGTGGATTGACGACGAGTCTGGTATCGCTGTGTGATTTGGCGGTATTGTTCCCATTTCAAAGTTTGAAAAAGAGAATCAATGATGGATTGTGTGGATGTCGGATTCACACACTCAAGTATTTTATTAAGTAGGAAAGATTACTCTTGAGGGACAAAAATAAATATGTAAAAAAGCTTATGAATTGCCAAAAATTGCTATAGTATTTCTTACTCGAAAAAAACGATCCCCTTTACATGGTCATTGGCCTTTATATTTATACATAGAAGAATGACATTTAATGGGCTAATTAAGTACAATTATTCTCTCTTAAATGTGACCGTTTTGATCTTTGGTTTTAATGCTTAACGTTCGAATTTGAGTTGATTCTGATCTTCATGGGCCTCGCCTTTTGACCCAAATATCCTTGGACCGATTTAACCATGACTTCGTCTCCGGACTCGTGTCGAGGTGCAGTCACTTCGAATTCTCCTTATGGTGATAACCACTTCGATTGTTCTTTTGACTTGTGGGTCTAATGGGCTTTATCCTTTATGGGCCGTTACCCCGACTACGTGTCAATCTTTGGTTGGTCCTGGACCTCTGGTGCGGGATCCGACACCAACAGATTGTGCTGGGATTGAGTAATCGAAGAGAACCAGCAACAATGGAGGTCAAAAATCAAAGAAAATGTTGAAACAAGAAAGTGAAAGATTCGTATGGAAGAAGATCAATCACAGCGATAAACATAAAGAAATCAAAATCGGAAACCATAGGAGTGATCGAAACACTCATGGCTAAAGAAAAACAAGATGAAGAAATGAAGAAGACGACAATGGCGAAGGAATGAGAAATCAATGGCGGAAGAAAATTCTGTTAGGCTATGATACCATATTAAAGTAGATCAGAAATAATGTGGATTTCTCATTAAATGAAAACAATGTACATAAAGTTGTTTATATACATGTGATTAATCTAAACCGGTATAACAAAATCCGGTTAACTAAATATACTCCAATAGTCAGAAATCCTCATCGATTTCTTAGATTTTCAATAGTAGCTTGAGGAACCTTTGTCTCAAAATACGCAGTTTCATTGTACAAACAAAACTTTATTTATTTTTTATTTTTTGACGAATAGCTGGTTTAGCAGTTAATTTGTACCGACGGTTTATCGGTTTTATCTCGGATTCCTTCTCAGGCAAGAGATTCTAACCAAAGATCTTTCCATGGGATTTAATCGGGAAATTTCACAACCGTATAAAAGCTACGAAATTAGATAATCAAATTGCGGTTTGGTTTAAGCGAAACCGGTTCTTAACCGTTTGAAAATCGCATAATTGAATTATTCGATGTCCGGTTTTGTTTAACCGAATTTATCCAGAATCACTGATTACGATTTTCATTTTTCATCTCATTCACTGTAAGTCTCAATTTTTTTTGTTAAAATACTTGAATTTGACGAAGAAGAAGAAGAAGAATAGTTTCGTTTTGTTTCGCTTGTTCCATCAAACAAATCAGGTTCGAAAACTTCACGGTTTTGGTTAATTGATGTGCTTAATTTCGATTTGACTGTGTTTTTGTGATTTTGCAGAGTTCGTAAGAGAGTTAAGAGTAGTGGGGAGCTTCGTAGTGAGATTATGGAGTTTTGTTGCTTTGAATGGGCTTCCTCAAGGCCACGTGCCTTCCTTCCATGAAGGAACTCTCGGCACATGGAAGGTTCGAGATTCCAAATTTGTAAGGTTGAATTATGTAATTGGTTTCGATACTCTTGAGTTATTTAGATTTGGTGTTGGAAATTTTTGTTTGTAGAGTTGATCTTGCCAATGTTGTTAGACGAAGAGGATATAAGTTCATTAGGGAGCTTCGTGCAAATTCTGATATGGAAGATGGCTGTAACGAGCTGCTTTCGGAGGAAAACAAGAAGATGGAAGCAAGTTCAAGTGGCATTCCGACAAGCAAGTTCGGTGTTTCTTCTTGTCTCTGCTAGTGGCTTCGCTTTCGTATTTCTTTGTCGTGTTTTCTCTTGTATTCGTAGGTCTTTAGTGTGTAGTTTTTGGTTTTCCTTTCTTCTTTGTTACCTCTGTATTCGCTGTCGCAAAATTGAAAATGGTATAAATACTTCACCTTTTACCCAAAAAAAAAGTTCAAGTGGCATTTCTTTGGAAGATTCATTAACAGGTCGAATGCATAATTCTTTTAAGTGAACAAAGGAATAATTTTCGTTCTTGATCGTGTATTTATCTCTCTTTTTTTCTCTGATATATTAAGGTCAGGCCGAACAAGCACTGGATGTGGTTGACGAACGACTTGTAAGAAATGCTGGTGGTTTACCTATAGAAGAAGGTGTTATGGTAAATTTAAGTTGCGAGGTTGAAGAATATGCGAGAGTGCGTAATGGTGAATCATCATTGGCTGGAGTTTCGAGCATGGGGAAACTCCCTTGTTAACTTGGGTGACAGTAATTATTCAGAAGAAATCATAGAAAATATTTTAAAGATTGAGAGTGTGGAGGTTGATAATAGAGCTGATATTGAATGCTCATCTTCCGAAGCTTCAGTATCGGCAGCCCATTCTCTAGTTTTAGATGATACTTCAAGCTGTCCAGACAGAGAAGCTGACAATGTTTTAATTGCTGAGGATGAGAAGATTAGTGATGTGGGAGGAGATATACCTCTT